CTGCTTGAAGTAGCATCCTAAGGGATGAAATTTGGGAAGAAGCAACATCTTGACATCCAGGGGACTGTGATCTCACATGCCACACGCTGCCACACAAGGTCAGACTCAGTTTTCTGTTTGGTTTCTGCATTCCTTTAACACATATATGACCTAAAAGCAGTTGTGAATTTTGTGTTCACTTCTTACCATCTTCTCTTGTGAAGGATCCAAAAGATCTCAGCCCACTGGGGCCACATTTATGGTATCTACATCAGCCAAGGAGAACAATGACTTATTTGGAGCAGCCAGAAAGGTTTCCCCAAGACCACATAATTTCCTCTTCCACCTGACTTTGGAACCCATAATTTTTCCTTCACTTCATCAGTGCTTAGGGAGAAATAGCTGCTGCTAAATGCAGCCCCACATGAACCAATGGAGAGCTTTCATTCATTGTGCACTTCAGAATACGCCTTTTATCCAGGGAAATTTCTTCAGACTATTCATCTCTAAAGGTATTTTTCAGAAACAATTAAGATCACAAAGGTAGTATATAAAATGTCACAGGATTTTTCTATGGTTTGAAAAATAATTATCAGCTTATTTGCATTGTTAAACATTAATTAGCTATGAATGGTAATTTTTTTTCAACACTGCAATACTTCAATTTCTCATTACAAAATAATTTCAGCTCTATTAATTAGTTCTAACAGTAACTCATAGTAATGGATGACACCTTAAGTGAGCTATTAAATGCACTTTACCACTGATTAGGAAGAAGACAACTAAAAAACCTGGCTAGGTTTACATAAAGGCAGAATATGAAACAATACATTGCAGATTTATCGACTTTTGTGCAAGCGACACACCTCCTCTAAGCCAGGCAGGCTCAGTAGAACCAGAGGTTTTGTAACACTTCTGTGAGGTTCACGGGGTGGCCACATACCAAATGGCCCAGTATTTAACCATGGTTTCCATTATTTTATGTATGACATTGTTCTTTGCAGAGATCTACACCTCTATGCATACATGTGTTTGTTTGTGTAAACTCATGCAGGCAAAAAATTTTCTCAATTACACAGTAAACTCCATTTTTAATTTTTTTTTTTTTTTTTTAAATTTTGCTTCTTTTTATTTATCTGGTCCAAACACAGCAAAGGGATGTGGTTCTGGCCAAAAATACTCAAAGATCCACTATCCTGGATGGTGACAAAAATCATAACAGAATACTTCTCTTGCCAATACTTGTCTTGCAACCTTTTTGTCATGGGCCAGTATAATTTAAGTCATGTAGGGATCTCTTTCTCAAACCACTGCCTAAAAATCTGCATGTATAACCAATCCTGCACTGAAGTGCATGAACCTCTCACATGGCTGGTGAGATGGCAGCCTGTGCCTGGAACAAAATCCCACAGCAGTGGCTACAAACTCCACAACCACCACATTTGACCCTTCTGGGAAGTCCAAACCTGTACTTACACTGATTTACCAGGACATTACTGCTAACTCAGAATGCTCCCAGAAACTGAAATGTGCCAGCCCTTCCTTAAACCTGCAGTGAAATTTGCCTTGGATGCTGTTCTTCATAGGACATTCCAACAATTCCAAAAGAAGGTGAGGAGCAAGAATGTGTTGTCCAAAGCACACTTTATTGAGCTGGTGCTCCTTGCTGTATACTTGGAGCTTCTAGACCTGCCCAGTTAGAGCTCCCCTGCAGGAAGCCTGGCCATCCCTGCCTCCCCAGCCTCCCAAAACACATCCTCTGAGCTGGAAGCATGGAAACTGCTGTAAGGGCAGCCTCCAATGATTGACCCACACTAGAATTACAAAAGCCACAAGGTGATTTCAGGTTTTGCAGTTCTTTGCTCTCTGGTGGGGAGCATTCAAGGTTGGAGAGACACTGGGAGACCTTCTCTGCAGGGCCCGAAGCCCAATGATTTCAGGGACCTCAAACTGTCAAGGCTTCCAGGCTCTTTCATTTTCCAGAAGGGAGGCTGTACCCGAGCCTATGGAGTAGGACTGGTAACCCAGAACTGAACACTGGCGCAATTTAGTTTCTGACTAACCCATGGAACACACTGTGTCTTGGCTGCAGTTTACTAGAAAATTCCACGAACCACTGATTTTGGTGAATAAACATCATCTGACACAAAAAAGTTTTACTTTTTTGATGAATATAAATGTAGATCTCATATGAAAATACCCTTATCCTAGGAGCAGATATTTTTCCTCTGAAGTCACAGATTTGGCTGACCATAGTGCAAATTCAGCATTTATTCTATTAAAGGAAAGCCCAAGATGAAGTCAGCACCTGAGGCACCCCACCCACTGCAAAGTGCCCCTACCAGCAGCTCTCCTGGAGTGGTGTCCATTCGCAGCCCTGGAGGCTTCAGAGGGAACCCAGCTGTGGGAGGAACACTTCTAATGTTAGCAATAACAGTGAAACAGGTAACGTCAAATCCTGCGACTCCAGGTTGCAGATCTGATTCCTGACACAATTTCTTAGTGAACCTTTACTAAGGAAGATCCAATGGTTACTGGGAAAACTTCAGGTAGGTACAACATAGAGGTTGAAAGGTGATTTTCTGTGTTCCAACACTTTTGCCAGTGCTATCATTCCTGTCCATATCTCTGTTCTATAAAATTCCTGGTTAAAAGGTACTGTTTAGCAGCTGACCTATCTTCATGGGCAATGGATAGAAATTGTCCAAATTCAGTTAGTCAGAACTGCAATTCACATGCTCACTGACAAAAGAAGATGAAAAATAAATCAGCTTACACACCACAGTAAGTATAAAGGCAACTACGTAAGTGTGTTACTTATTATTTACATCACATTATGAAAACCCTTAAAATCATTACAGGCTCACTCTCAAAATCTCTTATTTCAGTAATAAGGCATATAAAAAAGAAATCTGTAAACTGTTCTTCCAGACAGTGGAACTGTTTGAGTTTAATCCAAATTAACATACTGAGTATCACTGGCATTTTCATTCAACAGTCTTTTGCATCTTGTATTTACATATGTATGGTTCATGCTGCAGATCATATTTGATACTAGAGGAAGAGTGAGCCAGTGCCACATTTACTGAGAATCTGGCATCTAGAAAATTTTAGATAAACATTCCACTTTCTTCACAATAGGTATAACATCTGGATAACCTGGAACTTCTGGAGGAAAAAAAAAGTGTGGAATTCAAACTCAGTTCTGAGGACTTGAAACCAAAGGCATGAAACTGAAAATCTGCACACTTGCAAATGCAATCAGAAAAATTCTTGTACTCTCCACCACAATATTCTGTAAGAAAACAATCAAGTTTGTGCAAGAGAGAAAGCAATGGTGAATAGCAGTAGGGGTCTTCAAAGACATCAAAAAAAAGTAGAAACATTTTATGGGAGGAAAAACTAGAACCTGTTTGTGCTGATTCTTCAAAGAATCTCCTTAAACTACTCAAATCTACCTTGTAGGACAGTAAGTTAAAACAACATTATAGGCAACTTCCAAGGAAGAGGATTAAAAAAAATCACACCTCATTAAAAAAGAAAACAAAATTCATGGGAATGGACATGCAGGGAGCAATCTGAGGTCCAGCACAAACCTTAAAGTGCTTGAGAAGAAGATGGAGAAAAATGGAGTGTAGACAGGTGTAGAATAAGCTGACTTGCAGAGAAAGTTTGTAGGATTCAATGCAGCAGATGCATGAGAAGTTTAGCTTATCCCAGGCATTAAAACCTCCAGCATTCTTCAGTGGGGGATCAAAATGTTGAGCCTGTTTTGCCAAACACTAACATCTTGTTTGTAAATTAAAGAAAATATTACTTGGAACATTAATGTTTTCTTTCTCTGCGTACCTGGTGCATGACTTCCCTTACTCATCTGCCCCCAAATTTAAGAAATTTCAAACTCCTCACTGTATCACAGCTTTAGAAGTGATCTTTGTTCCCTTCCATTATCTGCAACTCTTATCTGCTATATTCTTTTTGAATTGACAAGATCCCATCCCACCTACAGAATCATGTCCCTAATACTAAACTGACAACCCTATATGAGTGGCTTGCTGTGCCTTATTTTGTGCTCTGCAAAATTAAGATATTCCAGGCTGACACGGCAGCCTGACTCCCCACAATGCTGAATGTATTAATGTGGGTACTGCAAGGATAGACAGACTGACATTACCCACCCGCTAATCTGCACATTCCTGCAGCCAAAGAGCAGCTCAATAAGAGCTCAGTGCTGAAGATGGGCCAGCCTAATCCTGCAAACAGGCAGCTGGGACCTGAGGGAACTCTGATGCCATAGAAAATTTAGGACCTGTATCTTTTACAAGGAAGAAAGTCACAGCTTCAGTCTGCAAATTCTTCCATGCTGCTTATTTTCAGACAGTACTTCACATTTGAAAGCCAATGGCAGACATGTGGACAAAGTATTGCAAATCTCTCACTGACTCAGGGCCATAGGAAGGACAGGGACCCACACAACAGCCTTGTCAAGGACAAAGAAATCCCAAGTTCTCAGTCAAAATCTCTTTCAACTGATGAAGGCAACAGGTGGCCCTTCGGGAAACTGGCTTAGGAAGGGGATGGAAAAGGAACTTCTGTAGAGCAGCAGAAATCACAGAAAATCCTGAGTGGCCTGCCACATACAAGAGATTATGCTTCAAGAGAGGAAACACTGAGTATTGTCACTTAAAAACACAACAGAGCTGCAGTTTTTCAGAAAAACAGACAAGTATTAAGAAGAAAAGACAACATTATAGACAAGACACAACTGAAATGAGCATATCTATGATGAAATATTCTGAATGACATTTTAATAAGCTCATATATTTACAGTAACACATACATACCTCAGAGGCTAATGACTTATGTTCACACTTTCAGAAGTCAAACTCCCCAATGTTTAAATTCATCATAGGAATGTCATCAACAGGCCAAAATAACAACCTTCTATAGACAGAATACCTCATATTAATTTAAACCACTTTTCATAGCTGTTAAAAACCAGTTCTCATTGGTGAAGGAGATCAAGTTTACATAATTTATTACTTAATGATTGAATATTCAAATACAAGCAACATGGTGAAAACAGCTCCATTGTCTGTTTTGTTCTAGGACAGAAGAGAATCATGAGAAGCCCAAAAAACTTAATGTGATCAGTTGCAAGTAAATGTGTGCTAACACTTTTGCAGCTACTCCACTGCTCCTGAAAACTCTGCTAGGGATGGAAGTGTAATTAGAAAGTTTCTTGATTAAGAGGGGAGGGATTCCCATTTCTGATATGACTTCATTGAAAGTGCCCTGGGAGCAGGGGAGAGGGAAAATAAAACAAAGATTGTGTGAGTTTTCCTTGGAGGAACAATTCTGGAGAACTGTTGGAAGAGAAAGCACAAGGCCCTGTCATGGTTATCAAAGCATACACATACCTAAGGAGTGAAGGGAACTTGTACTTAGACTTGTAACAAGTCTTAGAAGAATATGATAACAAAAGTACTGCAAACATCTTAAACGAGGCATTTCCTGATATTGTGGTGTAACCTCTTCAGCAGGATAATAATAGGAAGTAAGGAAAGAAGTAGGAAAGAAGTACTAGCAAAAAGGTACATAAAAGGCAGTGCAATAGCTTAACCTAGTATGCATTTACTTGGTACGTGGGATAAGCCACTTTAATTATATTTCCAGAAACAGCATGCCTTTGTACTCACCTGTGCAATAGCACTACTGAAAAGGGTAGTTTAAAGAAAAGAACATACAGAGCCCATGAAGAATTGAGTCTATCTATTTTATTCCATCTTGCATTTGTGCTGTTAAAGCAAAGCGTTCTATTACAAAGCGTTTAGGTATTTACTGCTGTTCTACACCCATTATTGACCTAATTGCAGAAAGACAAATGCAGGGACAAACTTGTTAAACGAGCATATTGATAATGCTTCTCTGACTTCGACAAATATTCATTCAGAAATAAGATACTGCTCATGGGTTTCTCTTATTAACAGTTAATGGCTCAATTCACAGAACTTGGAGACACCATGGAACATGTAGCAAAACACAGTGCTGATAATAGGCAACATCTCTTCACTACACATTCTTCAGAGGAAGAATATCATGGTAACAGCTGAGCTACTGATTCAAATATTTAAATGGAAAGAATCTGGCAAGTGATGGATGACAACTTTTAGATACAAGGTTATCCCGTATTTATTTATGTAGGCAAAAAACTTCAGCGTCACAGGCATAAAGAATTATTATCTGAAAAAACTTGTATACGTAGTTTAAAATAATATGTTCCAGCTTTATAGCAGGTATCACAGTATGATTGCAGGTTAGACATAGGAAAGATCTGAAGAAAACAAACAGTAAATCCAAGTATTTTGACCTGTTTCAAAGCCAAATAACATTGCCATGGCTTTAAAATAAAATCTGCAATTAATTTTTGTTTTGTTTCTTAACACTAGTTTTAACTGTATGAAATCACACTGCTGGAGTATCTTTAAAACCACTCCTGTGAGATGTGGAAAAATGAAAATGAAACCACAGTGTGAGCCAGAATGGGAATTCTACTGCACAAAAAATATCTCAAAACACTACATTAAAATATTTTAATAAACCACTTTGTTCTACAGCTTCTAACAGATAAAGTGTACTGTCAGCTGAGGCATGTATTGATAATACCTGGGGAAAACAAAGTGCATCTATCTCTATATCAAAACCAGTTTAACTAACCTTAACGTCTAATAGATTCTCACTAAAAGGCTGATTTAGAACAAAAAAATTTAAGGTTTTCAATCTGATTACATAGTTCATCCATTATGACAGTCTACTAGGCTGGCTGCTTCACTGCATCTGTAGGAATGCATGAAAAGAGTTGAATCAGCTAAAGATATTTTTCCTCAATATGCATGCATTATTTCCCTCTTACCTTTTAAAAACAGGAAACAGTTTCAAGAACTTCTGGGGCTCTACACTTATTTCTTGAGAAACTACTGCTATGATAAATTGCACAGAAATACTTCAAAGAAGTGTTATAGGTGCCATACTTCCAGTCCAAGACATGGAGGTGTTGGAACTAAAGCAGAACAGTGGAATTTTAACAGACTGAGTATTCTTTTACAGTTTTACAGATAGAGCTACAACAAACAGATCTTAAAAGATTCACTTTTGCAATTCACACGTTGAAAATGATTTTAAGGGATTTCTGATTGCAGTGTACAAAACAAAGAGGTTGTCAGAGTTCACTTGCTCTCAGGAGCACATGGCACTGTCCGAATAGGTGCAGGCCACAGAAATGCATTATTTGGAATAACACACAAGTGGGCACCTCTGCCAGCTGCAGAATTCTAGGCTCTTGGCCCTCTGTAACTATGTGGCCTTGAAATTCTTTGGATATGGAATGTATTTAACCAAGTTCAGTTGTGCAAGAGATATTTGAAGCGGCAAACTCACATTATGCTATGCCCCAAAACCTTACAATAAAACATATCTTTTGCTGTATAAATCCCAATTCTGTTTAAAATTTCTTATAATTTTAACAAGTAAAACCACACAATCATACAAAGTATTTAAACAGCAATAAATGGTCTTCCTGAAACTCAAAGAACATGTGCATTCAACTATCATAAAAACAACATCAGCTACTAATCTGTAATCTCTACACTATGGTGGTATGCTGAAACAACATCCCCAAACTGACAGTAATTGCATTGGAAAATATGAACATTGCTTTCAAGCAAATTTAATGCTATAATGCTGCTGGTTTTCCTCTTCCTGCTACTATTTTCCTGGAAAAATGGATGAAGCTGAGAGAAAAAGGAAAGTAATAAAAACATGTCTTAAAATTAATCACTATATTTCACAGTTGCATGAGCAAAACTGTGCTCTTTTTATGCTAAAGAAATATCTTTGCAAGCATCTGGAACTAAGTATTTTTTTCTGCAGCCTGGGAGCTGAGGAAGGGAGATCCTCCTCTTGAAGAAAAAAAAAGACTGCAGAATCAAATCCTGTTCCCTCTGCAATGAGGGTAAATGTTGCCAGCTACTAGAGGCATGGGTGGTGAGAGGGGCACGATTTTCTCCTCAGTCCATCTGAAAAACAGTTTCCTTCAGCCCTATCATTTAATTTTAAAGTGGAATTTGTTTTATCCTGCAGACTAATAAGTACCCTAGGAGCTTGATTGGTTGGTGCTTAATGAAATTGCTTCTGCTGACATTAGATACATTAGGATACTGATTAAAACACTTAATGATCCCTCTTGATTTTAAATTGCTAGCTTAGATTTGTGAGATGCCATCAAAGTATCTTTTGCCTTCCTTTCCTCCATCCTAATCCTGCTTCTCCTTGCCCTTTTTCTGTTCATGATCCTTAAAGGTTGTGGCTCGCTGGCAACAGCTCGGTCACAAACCAAATGTTAACACCATGTTGAATACTGCATTGTTTAAAATGTGCCAAACCCCAGAAAAACACTGAAACACAGTCATCCCTGAAATACAATTTCCTGTTTCAAAGCTCAAACTATTCTTAAATGTGGCAACACTGAGGATTATTAATATGAAGGGAAAGCCAAAGTTGGAGTAAACTTTAACTCTGTAAAGTATTTGCTGAGGAAAGATAATTTTGTAAACATAAAAACAAGTATAAAAGCATTACTTCTCAGCTTGAATGTGGAAGACAGTAATACATTGCCAGAAAATGGTGTTGGGATGAGATTCCTATGACAACAAAGCTGTTTTTCATGCTCTTAGACAAAATTGCATACCATATCACCCTCCACTGGGAAACATGTATGTATTATGGCCATAATGACAACTTATACTCAAATATTGTTAAACACTATAAATACCAGGCCTGGAAATTTTGCCTGCAAAGGGGGAAGCCACAATAGCTGTAAAAAGTTCCATTTTCCTCAACAAATCTTGAGATGAAATTATACCTACAAAACAAAATTTCCTTATATATTAAAACCTGCTGTGCCAGAAGCTTTTACCAAAAAAAGTGAGCATACTGCATTTTATGCTTAATACAAACCTTAAGACCACAGAAAATAAAAAAGTAGAAGTTTTTGTACATTTTAGCACCATTATGAAGTCGGACTGGAATGCCGGTTCTGTCACTGCGGCTGTACCTTGCAGCTGGTGGGAGTTGTGTGAAGCTCGTTGACTTCAGCCATCTTTGAGAGAAGAAAAACTGGATTTGCCGATCACAACAAATAATATGTTTGCCACTTTTTCCTTTTTCTTTCTTTTTTTTTCTTTTTAAATTAATTTTGAGCTTTATTTTTATCTCTGTCAGCCAAATCCAAGTCCAAGTCCTTTGGGTCTCTGCATGGCTCGTATGGGCTCTGCTATCCCTTTGCCGTCTGGTCCGAGACCTGTGCCTGGGGTCCAGCCCATACTCTGAAGCATTCTGTTTCCAATGTTGTTTTCTGGGATTGGTTGGGTGTTTTCACCTACAAACCCTGAGATTAAAGAAATACACAGCATTAATCAGCACTGCCTGCCATGTGGAGAAGAGCAGGATAATCTCCCTTAAAGCTTTAAACCTTCTTATTCTCCTAATTCATCTAACAGGTTTCTAGAGCAGGCTGCCTTTGCACATGTTGACCTCTTGACTGCATATGATTCTAAATAATACAGTCTAATGCTTTTATTTTTAATGCTTTTGAGGATTCATTCTGTTTTTACATATGACAAATAGCATCATATTATATTCCAATATGGTGGATTTCACATCAGATTCAAAGAATATAAATCACCTGCAGATGTCTACCAGTATATTGCCAAGATCACATGAATTTCTAGTCCTATGCAGTTACTAAGGAGAGACACATCACAGTAACATGACCATCACTCTGTTCTTAGTAATATTTATCAATGACCTCCTTCAAGAAAACCCAATAAAAACGTTCTGATTAAACAATTATAGCTCTTACAGAAACAGTACAGATAGATGGTCAACCACTCTGTAATTCAGCTATACCTTTACTGTTTCTCTTTTATTGAACATTGTGAATTTTGATATGTCCAAGGTTACTCTTGGTGTTTTCAATTTTACTAAGTGTCATTTGCACTCTCTTCTCCTTAGCATTGAGATCTTTGAGAAATGCTGCATACATACCACAGAAAAGAGTACCAACATTGCAAGTGTTAGTATATATTTGTTACAATAACAGATTAATTTTTTTATAAGAAAGGTTTTTCCCCCCCATGAATACATCACTAAAAAAAAAAAAAGAAGTCAAAATAATAAAGCTAGTTTTTTCAGACTCCCCAAACCAGAGTTTAGAGACAATGCATGGATAAGCCTTCTAAATGTAAGTACCTTGCACAAGGGATATTTATTTCAGGAATCTGTGTTAAAATTTATCAACTTCCACCATGCAAACAATTTAAAAAGGACTGAAGGTTTTGAACACAAGCAGTTGCACGTAGACAGCTGGATTTTGTTTTCAGCATTATTCAACACCACCCTGCCCAACAACAAAATAAAAAAAACCCTCAATGTGCCCAGCTTCAAAACTATCTGTTTCATTTTCTACCTATTTATTCTGCCTGCTACTTTACAAAAAATACTGTAGTAGTAGCCTGTGATTTTGAGTTCTTGGAGACTATAATATTGACAAGTAGCTGGCTTATCATTATATTAATTACTAAACAAGAACACATAAAAGTTGAACCTGAGCTTCTAAAAAGCCTAATTTATCCCACACACACAAAAAAGCAAGGTCTCACAGTGGAAACTGCACATACAGAGAGAAATTCAAAATGAGAAGTGCACATTAAAAACCTCATGATGACTGGATGATGAATTTATAGTACTCCAACATTATCCACTATAGATCTGTTCATATTCAGTAAAACACTGGCTACATAAAAGGCAGACTGCTTTCTAGTATCTCAGTTCCTGAGTCAAAGAAAAAAAGCATTGCATTGAGGGAAGGCATCCTTTAATACTGGTTTGAAGCTATGCTTAATGCTAGGCTTAAAATAAAGGCTTTTAAGTCAGCAGCCTCCAGTCCCTGAGAGGGTTCTTCTTGAACTGACCAGCACAAAATTCAATGTCCAAGACTTCCTTTCTTTTCAGGCCCCCACAGGCAGAGGCAATTTTCATACAAATGAGTCCCTGGCACTGCCTGGCATACACAACATGGGCTTTGTAACCTTCCCAGTTATACTTTCTAGCTAAAAAAAAAAAAAAAAATATAAAAGGAAAGAAGAAAGGGTACTGTTCAACAAAAATTCTGGCAAACCTCATAGGTAAAACCCTGGAACTGTGTTTTGGTCCACTTTTTGTAAAAAGTGATGGCAAAAAATGAAGAGTGATTCCAGTAAATGTTTGTGGAACAATTAAGGGGAAAACTTCAAGGAGAAGAGAGATCCAACAGACCTGCCAAGCAGGAAAGAGCAAGAACAAGAGTGTATTTTATGACACCTAAAAACTGGAAACATGAAACCATTCATAATGCTGCCTAGGCAGAGGCAGCAATGCTGCTGGAACAGTATGCAAGGCATAGCCTGAGACACATAAACAGCTTTTTTGTTTTAGTCTATTCAGGGGAAAAACCCACAGAGCTCTTCCTGTAACAGATGTACCTTTCTATATGAATTTCAATTCCTGAGACAGCCAGAGAAATCTCACAAAGAAGATATAAGAAAGAACACTCTGTACCTTGACATGTTATTTAGTAAACTGGTGCTTCTATTTTTGATACCTTTTGAAGCAATTCAATGTTGTTTTTCCCTGACAGGATAATTGGAATTATTTGTTTTTAAAGACATATAAGTACTGCTAGAATGTGTATATGATACCTATTTTTCCCTCCACTGTACATACTTTTATATCTCCTATTAAAACATAAGCTCTCCCTAAGAGACTTGTTTTACTCTTGTATATCATCAGATTAAAAAAAAAAAAGAAGAAAAAAGAAAAAGAAAGAAAAGAGAAGCCACCATAAACTTGGTTTCACAACCCACTTTTGGCAAACAATCAAACAACATACACTGTCCAAAGGATAATGTGTTTGAAGGCTTTGTACTACAGCAAGAATAAAGCAAAACCAAAACCCCACCTACCTTGCCTATATTACTAATTGACTAATTACTCCTTCTCATAAATGAGGTGAATTCAGATTGCTTTTATTTGAATAGTGAAAAATACTTAATATACCCTAGCCATTCCATTGCAGTATAGTTTTTATATGAATACTATCTATGTCTGCCTTTAACATTCCTGCAATTCTCACCCATCACTTGAAAAATTTATGTGTAATGCAATATATTTTACTTGAATCCAAAGAATGTGGATAGTGGTATTGCCCTCTTCCTCCATTTCATGTGCAATCAGCAGGTTGGAAAAAATCTCAACATTTGCATTGCTGATAGACTGCATGATGGGAGAGAGCTCTTAAAAATCATGCTACACTGTGTGCTATTCCCCTGACCCCCATTCCTGTGCTTTGGGCTTTTATTTTCTAATTAAAAGCAGTAATTGTCCTTGCAATATTCATCTTCAAGTTCAGTTTTTAATTCATGCCTATGGCACTTCTTGGACTAGCCAGTAGGGCCTGTTAGAGAGAATGGTCCAAGCACACGGCCTTGAAAAGGGCTGTGCTACCTCTGGGACGTGTTCAGTCTTGACCCACCCAGGAGCAAGAGCAAAACCAACCCATTGTGCTGTCCCACAAAAAATAACTATGCAGAATCCAATTAAAAAAAAAAAAAAAGTGGGGATACATTTTTCCAATTTTAATGCTGTATGAGGTTTCCAGAAGTTACAAGGATGTCTCTGCACTAATAATTTGTAGGAATCTATCTCCTGTGCAGTACACCTTTTTTTTTCTACAGACAGAAAATGTTTTTAGCAACCCTAACAATTGATTCCTGATCTACCAGATGAGTAGTCTGCATGTAGAAGTGGCTGCCATTACATGAGAGAGGAGAAAACATTAAGGTATATTAACTTGTTTGAAAAGACAGCTCTGTAAAATACCCTCAGCTTATGTTCCTTCTCTCTGCAATACTGCCAGCTGAAAGAAAAATGGACAATTCTCAAATCTTTGTGTATATGAAGAGACACACTTCAAGGTCTACATTGTTTATGCATATGACCTTATATACATGGAATATAGAGTCAGTGAGTACTAAGTGACAAAACTGGGAAGTGGAAAGCAAAAAACTCATCACATTTGTTTAATTTTGGTATGATACTTATGATGGCATTAAAGGCAGGTTTCAGTGAAAAATAAAGGTATGTAATTTTTTCTTAACAGCTGTTGAGACAGGTATGTCCTGGTTAAACAGTACACTAGCATTAAGTGCCATACCCTTGATTTTACAGTGATTGCCATGAATTAATTTAATTCCATCTGTAAGCTAAAATCAGATCAGAGGTCTAATGCTGCTGCAGGCTTCACATCTGTTTAATCATTTTTGGATACAGCAGCTTGCAAAAGTTCAGCTTTTAAATTTGCTTCATATTTAAGAAACAATGTTACACCAGTGTACAACATTGTCAGCAGGAAACAAATGAGCCTATGAACAGTTTTGATCTGACAGACCCATTTTATTTGCAAAATGCTTCTACAAATTCAAAGCTCAACATTGAAGTTATCGTTTATTACAGAATAATAAAGGAGCTATGATCTCATAAACTATTATTGTCACAATATTTATTTGTATGGTCCAATTGCTGGATAAGACTAGCATCAAGCATGTTTGGCTTATATTGGGCTGAATAAAACCAGAATACAGCTAGGATCAAGCTCTCAGATAACCTTATTTAAGAAAATGTAAGGGTTTTTTGTTGTGTTGCCTTTTTTTTTTCCCTCTCAACCCCCCCAAGCTGTAAGAAACAAATGAAAGCATTGTGAAGTAATTTCATCTCTGGCCACCACACTATTTCTGATGTTAAGAAAACGGGGTTTTAAACAGTTCTGAGAAAATGGCACTGTACATAAATATAGTCTTACCCTTTCATCTTTCTTTTGTATGATTAAGACTTGTGAGCAGAACAGCAATGCCTTCGCAGAGCATACCACAACTATTATTTCCTCTTCTATCGCTCCCAGCAGCCTTAAATCCTTTAAATCCTTTCCTAGAAGGATCTCTTTTTGCTTGGGTAATTTTTGCAATACATGGCCTGCTAACCCTTACCCCCTACCCTGGATCTCACTTATGTCTATCACAGCAGAGTCAGTCTTTCTACCTCAAATCTTCCAAGGAGCATTGTGGATGGTAATTCACTTGCGTAATTGGCTCAAGAGATGAAAATCTTGTATCTGCCTCTCTTAGCCACTAATCTATCCAGCTGACTGCAAGCCTAATTGGCAGCTTGTTTAGTAATTTGGCTCCTAAAGTGTTGTATTGATGTTGGATAAACAGCCAATGGAAGCAGAAATGATACATGCTGATTCTCTTTAAAAGCTGGTGCACTTTCCCCCTCATTTTCTGAAAGCATTTA